TGAGACCAATTCCTCAGGAGTCCTGCTGTAGCCCTGTAGGATAAGCACTCGATTGCTAACCACAGGGTTAGAGGTTCAAACCAACCAGCCACTCCTTAGAAACCCTACAAAGGGTCACTCTGGGTCAAACTAACTCAAGGGCACTTCACTACAACAGCTCAGTTCTGGCAGAACCTTGCTTGTTGGGCAAATGCTCCTGACGCAGGGCGTCCCCCAAAGACACCCCTCAAGGTATGCTACACCTACACCTGCCCCGGGCACTCTCCTTACTTCTCTGTGAATGCTGAAGTGGGGACTTAAAGAGCTTGGGGCTCAGATGGACAATTCTGTGCCCCTGGTATCTGAACACAGAGCTGAGCAGAGTTTATGCTCATGAGACATGATAGATGGATGGATGAGTGGGTGGGAGAGTGAGTGGATGGGTAGATGAATGGGTGGGTGGATGAGTGGGTGGGTAGATGAATGGGTGGGAGGGTTGAGTAGGTAGACAGATGGGCTGGGCACTGGGTAAAGGATGGGTCCATTTAAAAAATAAAAAACTACCCTCACTTCCCTCAAGTGCCTTTGAGTCTTAGCTATTAGAGCTACCACAGAGCGCCCCCACCCCCCAGCTCGTCAATTATAAACATTAACTGTAAATTACACTTTTGCATAGTTAATTCAGCCTTTTCATTATGTATTTAGCAGAGCTCAGCAGGCATAAAACTCAGCCACCAACTCTGGAGCCAATCCAAGACCCGTCTTCTGCGGTGTTGGGGAAAGGTGGGCGTTTTCATGGTGGACCTCTGAGCGTGTCTTATTTGGAAGGTCTCTGGCAGATTCTGCACTTCACTTGGCTCCTGGAAGGAGTTCAAGCCTGTGGACGGGCTGATAGCTTCAAAGGCTGCTCCTGCCCTCCTCCTCATTGAAGCAGGCACACCTAATTCCCTGCCTGAGGAGGGAATTAATATTAACCTGACTAGTGGACGGAAAAGGAGGCGTGAATACCAGGGAATGGATTCATTCATTATTCAGTCCACAAATGTTTACTGAGCACCTCCTCGGGGTCAGCACAGTTGTACGCTGGGTGCACAGAGCGGGCAGCCAAGGTCTTCGCTTGCATGGGGTGTCAACTCTGGAAAGGGGAGACAGGTGGGGAGCTTCCAGGGGACTCGGACCACACAGCAACCCCTCTGTGGCTAGCCTACAAGGACAGTGTATCTGTTAGCAGTGGAAGGTGCAGGCAACCTGTGCCGTGCGCTAACTCTGTGTCTCTAGAATATCTGCAGTATTTTAAAACTTTCTCATCATGGTGTTGCCCATTTCATAACCTACTCACCCTAAACAAACCCCTGACTCATGGGGCCCCTGTTGGCTCAAGTAAAACTGCTCTTTAGGGGAGCCACCCACCTCATCTTCCTTCTGCAGAGCGGCTGGCGGGTTTGAACTGGCAGGCTTTCAGGTAGCAGCTGCATGTTTAACCCACAGCACCACCAGGAAACCTTTTTAAAGGGTAACAGGTGAGTGTCAGTGGAACTTCTGTACGCACTGTGAAGCCAAAATGCACCAACAAATAAAAGCATGTGGAAGCCGTGTTAGTGTGGTGGTCTGGAAAGGACTGCATGGGACGAGATCCCCCTGTATAAAGTGCCAGTGTCGGGAGCGGGGGAACCGAGGGGAGGCAGTGGATGTGCGGGTTCCTGTGGATTTTAGATATAAACACATGGAGGTGGGAGCAGGCTGGGTGGGCTGGAGGATGCTCACAGAGCCCACAATGGGATGGACTCAGGGGTAAGAGCAGAGTAGGAGTGGGGGCATCAGAGAGTCTGGATCTAAGAGATGAGTCATAGGCATTGCTGTCGGCATGGTCAGCTACCTGCAGCTCAAGGTGACCTCATGCATGGCCAAAGCCGCTCTTAGTCCTGCACCACCTCCACCGCGGTCCACACCAGTCACCAGACCTTTCTTCCTTGTCTTAGTCTGAAAGCTCCGCCGAAAACTGTTGAGCATCAGAACCACCCAGCAGCCTCCACAGGCAGACTCTACTGACAGATGGGAGACTCTGAGTGGTTGGGCAATGAAGTGAGTCCATGCACATTCAGCTTGGCCTAACACACACCATGCTGACACTGCAGTGGACAGACCCAGTGTGCAAAGCCACCACTGGGCTCCCCAAGCTGATCTGTAACTCTTCCTCAAGCCCCCATTCCATCTGGCGGAAGGAAGGTTAACCTGGCTGACGGCCAGGTTACAAAGTGAGGGCCAGTCCTGATCTAGTTAATCTATGAAGGAAGGAGGGCATCTCAATTGTCCTCAAGATTGGCCCCGGTGGGCAGGGGGTCCCCTGAGTACTGACCTATGGGGCAAACGTCAGGTCTTTAGACATTCTTTCTTCACTTCAGCAATGTCCAGTTTCATTGTTTGGTTTCTTCTGTTCATCACAGACCTCACAGGTATCCCATTTTCCCACCTGTTTCAGTGCAAAACTCAGTGTCTTGAAGTCGACACTGACTCATGGTAGTTCTGTGGGGTTTTCAACGACTGAATTTTTGGAAGGAGATTACCAGGACTTTCTTCCAAGGGACCTACCTCTGGGTGAGCTCAAACCTCCAACCTTCCAGTTAGCAGCCGTGTACATTAATACATTGATCCTTTGGTGGCTGCTCAGACACCCCCTTCTGCATAGTTATGGGTCCTTCTCAGTCCTCGGGCTCAGCAAACTGCAGTCCCCTCCGCCACAGCTTCCCTGAGAAAGAGGTAAAAATCTCACTGCACTCAAGGTCTTCCGTGGCTGGGGAGTGGAGTGGGGCACTTCACAGATCCTCACTGTCGCGCCTCCCCAAACTCATTCTGTTCCACTTGTGTCTTGTCCTGCTGGCCAAGTCCAGGGGAGACTGAGGTGTGCACTGGCAAGCAGACAAACCCTCTATCAGCAGCCAGCACTGTCCAACACAGCAACTAGAGCTCAGGGACGCACTTGGTGCAACACATTGCCGTTGGTTGGTTCCGGTTGGCTCCTTACACTGTGATGATTTCCAACACTTTGTCAGAAAAGACCAATCTCTAGAAAAGGACACTGTGGTTGGTAGAGCAGAGGGTCAGCAAGAACGGGGGGACTATCTACAAGATGGACCACAGCAATGACCACAGAAGTAGACTGCAAACATACCAACTATTGGTGCAAGTGAAGCAGGACTGGACCACGTTTGTTCCGAGACTCTTCAGGACTCTGAGCCAAGGCAATTGTTAACAGCAGCAGCAGCGCTGAGTGTTTGTTTCTACTCCTCATAATGCTGTCCAAGCTGGTGTCAAAAACCCTTTCCTCATAATGCTGTCCAAGCTGGTGTCAAATATCCTTTCCTATCTTAGTCAAATCCCTGCGTTTTTCAGTGGCTTGCAGCTAGGAGCTCTGGGGGTTGCGTTCAGCACCCTGGAGACCTCTGGCAGACCCCGAGGGCCATGGAGTCTACCCGGGATCCAAGGGCACTGTCGACGAAGACTTTCTTTTTGGCCGTCCAGGTTCCAGGATGAGAACCACACAGCCCTTTGCCTTCATGAAACAGAAATAAAAGAGAATCAATGAAAAAAATCTGGGCCAAATGCGTGTCTTCTCCGGGCACCTTCTCCCTGTTGGGAGGTCGATTTCATTTTGTGAGCCTTGTTTCTTGCTAAGGGCTGGCGACTTTGGAACTAAAATCCCTTCTGACCCAACAGTGGGGAGGTGAAGCCCTTCTTGGCTTTTTAAAACACCCCAGACTCCATGTTCTAGCCAGATAGAGTTCAGCAGCTAAGAGGCTTGGTAAATTGTGTTTTCAACCACTTAAACCTCTTTGTGACTATTGGGGGAATTTATTTGCTTTGGAATACAAGCACTTTTTTTCTTAAACCAATTTTGGAAATTTCTTTCAAGAGTCACTGCAATAAATCTACTTGATGGATTTAGCAAGTGTTGGCTCTGGGGCGTCTTTGGAGTCACAGAAATGTTTAAATCCCTCCCGCAGCATGGGATGCCCCAATCAGTGGGTTGGGGCTCATGGACCCCTACAGGCAAAGGTTCAACGGATCTCAGCCTGCTCAGGGACACAGGGAGGGTGCCGAAAACAGAACTGCAGTAACACGTCTCCTCTTCTCAGGAGCAGAGGCTCGTTTGTGCTTACTGTCTCGTCTGCAGTGAAGTTTCACAATTTATCCCTCCCATGTGAAACTGTTCACTACAGATTAGAAGTGAGCACAGGTCAGTCCATGCTTGCCTTCTTGATCTGGTACTTCACTCTTCTCAGGGACTGATTTTGGAAGCAGGCTGTGATTCTGTAGGAAAGGGTTGTGGGGTCAAGAAAGAAACTGATGGCAGCCGTCCCTAGACTCACAGCCTTTGATGCGGTGAGAATATGTAAAACTGTTCACTACAGATTAGCAGTAAACACAAGTTAGCTGTCAGTACCTTTGCTTATCATCTACAACCCCACGGCACCATGTCTGACGGAGACAGAAATGCGGAAGCATCTTGTAACACATCTGAGAGAATCCAGTTCAGAATGAATGTCCCATCTTGCCGTTGGCTGGAGACCCAGCAGTGACCAAGGCGACCCCATGTGTGCCAGGGTACAACAGTGCTCCATATGCTTGTTTTCTCTGAGCAGATCACCAGACCTCTCTTGGGAGTCACCTCTGGGTGGATGTGAGAAACGTTCACTCTTTGGACCACCAGGGATGTGCAGCTTTGGGCAGTCAGCCCTCAGTCCAGGTCCTGTAGGGACATCCATTGTGCTGATAATATAAGCTCAGTTACAGAGGGGAGGAGTCCTGGGTGGCACCACAGGATAAGCATTCCCCCTCAAGGTTGGTTTGAACCACAAGGTCGGAGGTTCAAGCTCACCAGCCACTCCTTGGAAACCCTATACAGGGTCACTATAGGTCGGGGCCAACTCCACGGTGCTTGACAACAACAATGGAAGGGAGGGTCGGAGGGCCTGTCCATGGAACAGAAAGAGCTGACGCCAGGTTCCCCTGCTCTATTCCAGAAGCAGTGGCCTTTTCAGTGAGGTTGTGCAGATGAACTTCGAGATCGCCAGCTTTAGCAGCCTGTCGGGCACCCAGCCCATCACCTGGCAGGTGGAGTACCCACGCAGAGGGACAAGTGACACCGTCATGTCCGAGATCCGCATCAACCAGAAGGGCCTGGTGGGAATCGTGCCCTTGGCCATGGTGAGACCCTTGGAGGGCCCCCGCATTTGATGGTCCCGTCCTGCCCGTCCGTCTTACCCAGAGCGGTGCTAGGATTGTTTTACGGGGAGGTGTACATTGGAGAGTTTCCCATCATCCTTCACCCTGATGTGGCTGCAATGTATTTGTGGGTGGCGTTGGTTACTGTGGAGCCGGCTCTGACTCATGGCACTGCCGTGTAGCTGAACAAAACATCGCCCATCCTGTGCCTCTTCATGGGGTGGCCGGTGTGCCCGAGTTCTGTGTTTCCACCACTTGTGTGTTTTGAGTGTCTTCCAACCCAGAGGGCTCAGCTTCCAGTACTGTGTTGTTATTATGAAGTGCTGTCAAGTTGGTTCCAACTCATAGCGACCTTGTATAGGGTTTCCGAGGAGTGGCGGGTGGGTTTCAACCACCTTTCAGTCCAGTGCTTATCCTACAGTGCCACACTAGGACTCTATCAAGCAATAATCTGTTGTGAGCCATATGGTTTTCAGTGACTGATTTTCTGAAGTTGATTGCCAGACCTTTCTTCCTAATCTTAGTCTAGAAGTTCTACTGAAACCTGTCCAGCATGGGTGACCCTGCTGGTATTTGATGCTTCTAGCATCCCTGCAGCATGACACACTGGCAGAGGGGTGGTGGAGGCTGGCTGTAACATTCCCTAATTCTACTCCTCTTGGCAGACTATGCCCCCCACACATGCACACACCCTACAGTCACTATTTTAAAAGGGCTTTCCAGGTGGTCTTCCTCTCTCTCTTCCCAAACCCTCAGAACTGAAGGGAGAGGTCAGGGATCTCAATGGAGACAGCACCTTGGGAGTCATTCTCTGCATCTTGGGCTTTGCACAGTTCAGACACCGTGATTCATGGGCCAGAGACAGGTGGTGTGGCTGGGACGCCATTGGAAGCATGTGTCAATCAGCAAGTGATGGGTGGCTGCCTGCAACCCCGGGTCCCCAGGGAAGTGTGCTGACAATATCCTTCTTGCTTGAGAAGGGACAGAGCGGGCATTTCAAAGCACATGAGGGAATCGGGGAAGTGAGAGATTGTTTATAAAGAGATGAGAAAAAATAGCCTATGTCTTGTTTTTCAAAAAACACCCTAGCCTGAGCTCTTTGTTCCTTTTCCAACTTGAAAGTTTTGCATTTGTAACTCTTGAGTATATCTTTAGGATGACTTTGATATTCTAGGGCAGAGGAAACACATTTGCTCAGTTAAAAAGTAACTGTGTGGGAGAATAAGTGTTACCCTGACATAAAAGGTTAACTTGGAAATTACATTTTAAAATGGTCCTTCCCTCCAATTAGCAGGCCCAAATGTTGGTATAAAAACCACCTACAAGTCAGCTCAAGCTGTTTTGACTTGATAGAATTGTTTGCAGGGATACTGGGGTCACCAGGTCCACTAGGCAAGTCTTCACAGGTTGGTAACTGTCACTTGCTTTCTGATTGTCATCATGTGATACTTGGTTTTCACCATTCATGGGTTGTTCAATCTGTGCTGTTGTTGGATGTCATGAAGTCAGTTCCAAATCATAGTGACCCCCATGTTGTTGTTGTTGTTGTTATGTGCCAGGGAGTCGGTTCCGACTCATAGCGACCCTGTTCAGGGTTTCCAAGGCTGTAAATCTTCACGGGAGCAGAAAGCCTCATCTGTCTCTCGTGCAACATCTGGTAGTTTCGAACTGCTGACCTTAAGGTTCGCAGCCCGATTCGTAACCACTACACTACCAGAGCTCCTTTACCCCCATGTAGCAAAGTTTTTCTTAGCTGTGGGTTGCCATGTCTTGTCTCCTATGGAACACTAGATAGATTCAAACAGCCAGTTTGTTAATTAGCAGCTATGTGCTTAGCTGTTTGTTGGACCACCAGGGCTGTGTCCCCATTGAAGGAGGAACCACTGTTTCAGCAACATCTAGAGCACTGTACACAGTAGGGGCTTAATAAAGAGGTGCTGAGTGAGTGATGGATGAAAGACCAAAGCTCTGTCTCCCCACCCTAGTGTAAACTCCCGGAGGGTCAGTGCTCAGCTTAGATTGTTCTTCCTTTGATCACCAGCACCAAGCACCTCCCCTAACGAACGGAAACTCTCAGGGTTTTGAACCTGGTTTTCATTCCTGGCTCATTCGTGGCCAACAAAGTGAAACCAGAATGGACTGAAATTTGTGACATTTGGGTACTGCCAGAATGATAATAAATTAAACGGGAAAACACTCTCTGATGGATACCCTACTGAAAACACAATCTTCCTTTTAGAAAGTAAGAGCAGTATGCACGTTGCCTAGCGACCAAGTCTCTTGATCAACAGAGTCAGGAACAGAGCCCGGCTCAAAGATGGCAGCCACTGTCCCGCTTTGAGTGTGAGGCATTCTCCACCGTGGTGACCGTGATCCAACTCCACCCTGAAAGGGTGCCTACGGCTCTTCCAAGTCTCCTGTTCCAGGCCTTTAAATCATTATTATTTCCCATTCTGGATAGTTTTCCGGTACACACACATTTTACAGTTTCAGGTCTGTTCTAAGTTTGCTGTGTCAGCCATCTCTGAACCTGTTCAAACTCATCTGGAACCCTGAGACTGCTCTTTAAATACTGAATCCCTAAATTAACCCATTCTAAAGGAAGATTTATACCATGATTGTGTGGTACATGATTACTGGTCCCAGAGTGCTATAAAAACTATCAACTTTCCTTCTCCAGCCCCATAATTAGATCATCATTTCAATGTGCTCGAGCATTGATCTATGAATGAATTTATAATTAATTGTACATAATTGTCACTAGGGGGAAAGAGGGAACCTTTTCGAGTGGGGAAAAAAGATGGAGGAAATGTGCATGTAACAGGTACTCTGAAATCATTTCAGTCTCCCTTACAAATGTGACTACTTAGGCCAGCCTTCCACCATCATCTATCTATCGAGGTCACAAGTAAGAATCAAGTTCAAGCACCACAGAAGGGCCCCTTGCTTGATTTTTGTTAACAGTCAAGAATGAAAAAGTCAATTGTGGGCCACTTGCTCTCAGTATAAGCCAGGTTAGTCACATGGATTTCAGCTCACAGTGACCCCGTGTGGTGGAGTAAATACCATGGGCATTTCTGCAGGGGATTTCACAGACTCAGCTTTCCAGAAGTAAATGGATGGGTCTTTTCTCCCAGAATTAACAATTGTGGAAGCAGGACGTCTTAATTCCCCTGAGGACCTGTTAAACCCAGGGCTTCAAACTGATTCATGATCATGCATTGGCCGGGATTCGAACTCAGGTCTCAGCACAGAAAGTGAGAATTCGACCACTGACCCACCATAGCAGAGCTTCAGGGGCCTGTCATTAGTGACATTCTATCCCCACATCCCTTCGGAAGAAACCCTAAAGAGGCAGGATCTATTAGAGTACAAGCCGGTCATCAATTCCTCTGCCACTTAAGACCATCAGGCAGCCCCAAATAATCATGTTCTTACAGGAAAACACCCATCAACATGGGCATCAAATCAACATCAGTAAGTAATGGAGTGACTTAGAGTAAGAACCGTAAAGCAAGTTAAATTTATTCACAGACGTGTTCCTGGGAGGAGCTCAGATGCACTTTTGCATAACAATAAGATATTCTAAACAACAAACTTGCTAAAATGCTGCATAAGGTGGATTCTAACTGGAAGCAACCCCCCTTAGGGTTTCTGAGAGCAGTAGCCTCAGCTTCTAACTGCTCACTGATCTTGTGCACGGAATTCTTGTTGCTAAGTGTCATCAAGTCAGTTCCAACTCACAGGGACCCTGTATAAGGTTTCCAAGGAGTGGCTGGTGAGTCTAAACTTCCAGTTTTGCGGTTCAAACCAACCTTGTGATCACAGCGTCCCACCAGGACTCCTAAGATGATGGCATGGGAGGGGGGTGGTCTCGCACAAGCCTCCAGAGGCCCTGCTGTGTCTAGGTGCGCAGCCCCCACCCCACCCCTGCCCCCAACACAACTCCCTGCATCCTGAAAAGTCTAGAAAGCAACAGGGGAAGGGAGTTGGTAAAGGTAATGGAAATTCAATTTAAAGAACCTTAGATGGGTGCCGATTTGCATGAGAATTAATGGTGGTATTTTGCTGTATAAATTAATATGAGAGCAGCGGGATGAAATGGGAGATTTTTTTTTTTTCAGTCCCCTTCTGGATTTTGTCATGGAGAATTAAAAAAAAAAAAGGTCAAAATCAGCACATTCATTTATTTTACTGAAAACTAATTATTTTGCCTCCCAGACAAGCTTGTGGGTGAGTCCACTTCTGAGGGGCCATCTGCAGAGGGGGATGATCATTCTAAGAGACCCTCATGAACCAGAATCTGCCTACAGCAAACTACGAAGCCCAGCTCTGAGCAAGTCTGTAACTACAGAGGTCGTCAGGGCCGGTGGCATTCCCACCTCCTCCTCCCACCCGACCCCCAACCCCCCACTCCACCCCCCATCCCCGACCCTTCCCTGGGAGGAGAACCTGTTGCCCAGAAGTGGAATTGTATAGTGGGAGAGACGGTGACAGCTAGAAGGCCTTAGCAAAGGTTGCAGTGAAAAGTATGCCATAGGTTCAAACCCACCAGCCATACTTCAGAAACCCCATCCAGGGTCAGAATCGATTCAAAGGCAACAACCACAGGATATCAATACAGGGATGGTGGGGAGGGGGTAGGTGCAGCCCAGGACCAATGTCAGAGGAAATCGCCACGAGGGGCACAAGCCCACCAAGGTAAAGACTGGTGACCTAATAATGACATCAAACACCATGAGGAACAGACATACGCGTGCAAACCTGACAGAGGTGGGGAAACACAAGAGAGGGACCTCATGGGGACAATGGATGCAGGAGAACTGCCCCCGGGGTTTCCCAGCTGTAAATCTCCCTCAGAGTGTACCTGGCTGGCGGGTTCAAACAGCCAACCTGTCAGTTAGCCATGCAGCACTTTATCCACTGAGCCACCAAGGCTCCTTGAATGAGTGTATATACATAGGTTATTGTTAAGTGCCATA